CCTCCTCCCCTACACGAAGAAATATTTCACTAAGCGCAAGTAACCCAAGTTACTGAAGGAGGCTACTTAATCCACTGAGCCTGTATCAATTATTTCAACAGCAATTTAGTTGGTTACGCCTCCCCACATGCCCACAATATGTTCGCTTTCAAGATATTCCCCTCGAATGTTACGACTGAATCTACACAAAAACCAACAAGGCGGCAGATTGCAAATGGTAACTAGGTGTTGCACAGCAGCACCCTGATTCTCTTGTTCATCTTAAATTGTGCCCTCAGGTTATTGAGCTTTCAGACTTTGTAAAAGTTGATTTACTAGGCCTTTTATGATTTTAAATGCATCCATTAAATTTCCTCAGCCTTCTCTATTTTAAAGGAAACAAACCCTAGCTTCTCTATCCAAGTATCTGTCGAGCCAGAACCATTCCACAATTTCTCTTTCTGCCTGTATCATCTCCAGGGATTTCATTTGTTTCCAGCATTTTATATTATTCTCTGACTAAGGGCTGTTCAGCCAACTTCCTGGCTTTTGAACGCTACACTTGTGTTTGTGAATTCCACATTCTTTGTTAACCTGCACCGCCACCTTCAGAGACACATGCACAGGTACCTATTGATTTCTCTTTTACATTGTGTTTAAAAAGTAGCACCATGCCCACAATAATTTTGCTCAGAAAATTAATATTTCATTACAAAAGCAACAAAGGTCACCAGCCTGAAGTTAGTTTTCTTTGTCCCCCTCACACAGGCTGCTAGACCTGATCATTGCTAGCATTTGCAGTTTATTACAAATTTTACCTGCCAAGAAGCTAGAAATAACGAGATGGTTACTTCATATAAGAAATTAAACTTGGAAATCACAGCCTAAATTTTGGGTTTTTCCGTGCTTCCCAGAAGCAATGGTTTACATTCTGGCGAGTGTAATAAAGTCAAAACAACAGGCAAGGGCTCACGTGGAAAATCTTTCCAAGCTCCTTGTCAAACATGTGGTGAGAAGTTCATTTTCGAAGCATACACCAATAAAATACATATTACGTACAGTTTAACTCTTAAGCTTCGTTGGGCCAAACACACTGTGATCACAAATACAGCTCTTTGACTATACTCGCGTTCATAACTGCAAAATTATACTAAGCAGTTCCGTGACACAGAAATTGTTTCAAGAAAATGGACAGAAAACCACTGAAACATGCCAATAAACCAAAATTATCAAAAGAACTTTAGCTTGTTAGTGGCCACTGGTAACTAATATCGATCATACATACATGAAACATAGGGAGCACTGAATCGAGATGACAATGCCTGAGTGCAACGAAGAATGAGAAGCAGCGGTGCAGTGTAGTGCCAGTGTAATGTCACTGCTAAGTTCCCTCCTACCAAGCTATAATTTAGTATCATAGTCCAACTCTTGAAACAGAACTTTAAACTGCAAGTTATTTGACAGGCACAGCTTAACAAACTGCTCTGCAGTAGCAATTATCTATCAATAAATTTAAACTGTTGCCTGAATAGGAGTTAATTACGGCAGTAGGAAGCTGACTTAGGTGG